TGTCATTTTTTTTGCGTAAAAATCGTACCCGGTTTGTCATCGCATCGATAAAGAAAAAACTTAAGTCCAAAAGGACAAACAGAAAGAATGAAAAAAATGACAAACTGAGTTTCATTTTTGGCATGAGTCATGAAGAGTTACTACCATGTGACATAATGACATAAACTACCATGGTGAAATTGTGAGTAATCAATCAATGAGTTAGAAGATTATAAAACTGCAACATCTCTTTAATCTAACCTTGTTCTTCCCAAAACGGAGCTTCTATTTCAGCCTCGACCTCCGCTTCTCGATTCGCTTCCTCTCGGGCCTTCTTCAACGACTGGTAAATTTCTGCCTCCCGACGTTGAAGCTCATCCTGCGACGGCTGGCCGACTTGATTTGGCACTTCGACTTGGTCCTAGACGTGTTTTTTAGTTTTATTTGTTTTTTTTTAATTTTATGAAACTGGTCATGGTGGGTTAAATATTTACAAAAATCGTGAGAAAAGTTGCTGCAGTTCTTTTACCTCAATCGAGTCCGGCAAGATGGCGTCTGAGCTGCGGGAAGCTTCGATGGCCGCCAACTGTCTGGCTTTCTGTTTCGTCTCTTCCTCAAGAATCTCGTCGATGGATTTGTCGTTTGGGTGCTCGCCCATCACCCAAACCCACGGCTGGCCGTCCTTTCCTAGCAGCCACTTGACCCGCGTATCCGACGACTTTCGACCTTTAGTCGAAGAGGAGGAACCTGCTGCCGTAGCCATCGACGCCTCGCTGTTCTTTTCGTTCTCACGCAGGTTCCAGCGTCGAATCTGTTCCTCACGCATCTTGCAGAAAAGAATTTGTTTCTGGACGTCGGTCAGCTTTTCTAGCAGGCTAGGTTCTATATACATGTCATCGAGGATTTTCTGCAGGATGCTCATAGCCGCTGTTCGTCGGGTGTACGGCAAAACCACAAACCGAGAAGGTTAAAATCAGAACTACTACCAGAACCGACTACTGGCAAACAAACTGCTACATTGAAAGCGCCTGTATGGTCGACTGGACACGTTTTGACCGACGCGACTTTAAATACTCGATGAGATGAGTCCTCCGGTTTACCACTAACTGAGGCGAGTCGAGGGCAAAGTGATGTGAGATGTCGTCACACCGGCGAAGTACCGCCAAAACAAATGTATAGAAGCAGAAAATCAGATGCAGTCCTCAGCAATCTCGTGCGGTACGTTTCTGTTTACAAGAAAAGTCTTCCTCCATTCTAGGCACCATCCAACACAGTTATTACAACAAGAACAACGTAAAACAGTTCTATACACTAATTGACGATTGGCTATGCATTCTGCCGAACCGGCTTGACGGGTTCGGCTTGACAGTATCTAAACGATCAGTAGGTTATATTGGATAAAGTTTACTTATTTACCATCCATTTTTCGACAATCCCACTTTATTCAGAGACAAAAAATTGAATTTCATAAAGGTTCGTTTTCAGTGAGCAGTACTTCTTTTGGATGCAACGCGTGGTCTATATAGACTTATTGACAATTGTTGCGACCAAAAAAGTTTATGTAAAAGTACATCGGGCATCGTTAGTTGTAGGTTAGTAGAACCATATTAGACCGTGACCACGGAAGGCTATGATAAAGAACAAAAGATTTTACACGCCTGTAAACTGTAAACTAGACTTACAGTTCAGCGTTAAGTGGATAGATAAAGGTCAGTCTAGCAATATTAGCCATTTCGTTCGTCGAACCATTTTCTCGCGATCTGCCTTTCAGCCGCATTACCGTGGCCGCCCCAACGGTTTTCGGAGAGTTGCTTGCGGCATCAACTTTAGCAGGTCTTTTCATTGACTTTTTTTTATTGCATTTTATGCTGTAGAAGGAAAGATCGTGGGAGGAGAAGTTTTTTATTTAGAGAGGAAAAGTGTTGACGTCGTACAATAAAGAAAGTAAGAATATACGGAAGAGATGAAAACTAGTTTTAGATAATTTGTTTAAAATTTCGTGACAATGAATAAAAACAATTAATCAACACAACAAATGAAAATACATAACATAAAGAAAGTCACTCCCGGTTGTACAGGCTTATCAACAAACTGCTAGGTTTCATTACTGCCTGCAGGAATAGCAATCTCATGTCACACCTAAGAAAATGCACAGAATAATTATGAAGTGTTGTTATGGGCCCATGTACTGCGGGCGCGAAAGTAATATTTAGCCATTGTCTACTTAAACCACTTGATAATAAGGAACGGGTGGGACCGTAAATCCGCAAAAGTGGTAAGAGGTTGAAATGCATCACATTTTTTTTGCATTAGACACTTGACTCATATTAACTTTAGAGCTATGAGGCTTTAAAAAATCCTGCGATATAGCTGGAATTAATCTCCGACAAAAAGCTTGTGTTTCTGCGTTATTAGTATTATTTTCATCAACACAGAACTAAGTACTTGATGTAATTATAAATAAACCTAGTTATTAAAAGAATTTCAGACTTTTATTCGAAAAATGGTCACATCAGGTCTTTCAATTTCTTACTGAAAATAGAAGAATTGTGTAAGAGGAAAGCGGATTGACCACAAGAAATTTGACTCTTAGGGAAAATTTAACTTTCTGGAAAGATGAATAAGGCGAATTGATAGCTAAAATTAGAGGATTTTTTCAGGTGAGTTGCGAAAAACTATTTACATAAAATATAGTTTTTCAATTAATATTTATAAATATTGTTCCATAGGTTAATAAACGGAACTGCGGAAATCTGTAAAATGGCGGGATGGCCGAGTGGTCTAAGGCGCTGCGTTAAGGCCGCAGTCTACTCTGGTAGGCGTGGGTTCGAATCCCACTTCCGTCAACAGTTTTTTGTTTTGAAGTAATAATATTATACATGCACTGTGCAACCACATTGTGCCGTCCTAATCGTTAGCCGGTCAGCGACCATCGTTTAGTGGCAGTTGCACTTCCAATGCCTGTGGATGAATTTCTTGCTCAAAAGAATCAACAGCCAGAAAGAAAGACGAATGTACGGTTCCATCGTGCAGACCCACAGTGAAGCGAGTGTTACAAGTAAATGTAATTCTCTATGAATACCACATCTATTATTAGCAGTTGAAAGAATGTTTCCCGATCACTGATCGATGGTGCTGATGTGCAGTATACGACTATTGAATGATAATTTTCAGGCCAACTAACCATTTTTATGGTTATTGAGCTCCGTGACGGAGTTCCTGGAGAGCTCAAGGAGAGGGATACCATTTTGCCTAGAAAAAAGATACTCTGAATGAAAATCAGGATGAATAAACTAGAACCATCCTCTGTGAAAATCTTCTGAAGAAAACATGGTGAATTCATTCCGTCATGTCATGTACCAACTGGGTAGATGATGCTGGCGAACAATGGCAACACCGATCCTGAAATGAACCAGCTTATTGAACTTGCACTGACGAATTTCGACAGGCTATATGGCATATGCAGTCATCGAAATATAAAAACTTATACGACTATCGTAATCCAGAAAACAGCCGTAATCGCGATGCTCATGCACAGCTTTAAAACACGTGAAGTTAACACACTTCCTGAAGCACCAAGAAGTTCGTCAGTGTGCCAAATATCCTGAAATTGTGATGGTCCTACCAGGTATTGGCGAAAACTGGTCTGAGAAATTTATGAGATGAATTCATGGACCGATACCTGGCTTGGTTTGATAATAAGGCCCAAAAAACAGAATGAAAATATTTTCGAAATTCCCTTGCTTGTAAACGCATGCTTGTCTGAGACGCATTTGAGAACGATACAAAACATTGAGACTCGTCGTTGAGGCAAATCTACTAGCGACGATGAATATGACCTTTTCCGAGGCGGTGAAGGCTGCCCAAGAGAAATTCGAAATGCCTTCTAAAGGTCATGCACAACAAATCCTGGTTATTCTGCTGTTTAATCTTCGCCGGCATTTCATCGTAATGTTGACAGAACAACAGCAGCAAATCACGATGATCCCAAGCAATGACTTAACTTCAGATGAAGGCAATGATATGTTTGACGAATTATTCGAAAAAAGATGCTTTGTCATACACGAGTGTTTCTCTGCTACAGCAAACGTTCGTCTTTGGATGTCGTTTCAGTAACCTCAACAAGGGACGCTCCGGATGACTAGCAGCTAGGTAAACTAGTTATGGAAGTTATATAAGAGAAAGGGTCAAAGAAGGACAAGATTTCTATATGGATGCAAAAAGCCAGCAAATCAGATGTCAAAACACAATGTTTATAGTCCTCAGACCAAAAGTGATACATCGAAATAACAATGATACTAAGTGACATTTGAATATGTGTATTTTT